ATTGCTATTTTTTGTTTTATTTAATTTATTTTTATTTGTTGTTTTACGGATCTTAGTTTGTATGTATCTTATTTGATTTTTCTGTTTTGACTTTTTACTAATTTATTTATTATTCTTATTTTTAGTTTTTGCTCTTAAGATAGATTTTGATTTTCACATGGGTTGCACTATTGCTTTTTCGTGGGGTTTTGAGGTAACCAATTGGATATACAGCCTCTCACAAATTCAATAGCGTCTTCATGATATTAAATTCAGGTTTGTTTTTGACACTCAGTTACACGGTTTCGCGCTACACAACCGTTACACGTTATTCGATTAAAGTATCGAGACCGATTTTTGGTCTTAATTGTTTGATGCTCAGCTTAAGATTGAAAATTAAATGTAAGTGAAATTGAGAAGAAGCCTCTGTGCTTAATAGATATGTTAGTGTATTTTGCTCTTGGATTCTTAAGTTGAGGAGAAGACTCAGAGAGAGAGCAGGCAAAACTGTTTAGGTTAGGCTTTGGGATTTGTTTACATGAATGGCGTGACGTTGTTTATCGTTGCCAAAGAATTTGTTTATCAAAAGTTGGTACCACTATTTTACCAATAGTTGTGCAAATTAAACAAAGATATTAAAAGCTTCAACTATAATTCGCTGTTACTGCTAAGTGATTTGTGAATAAACAATATTTGTCTACAATAATTGCACATTAAAGCCAAATAACCTAAGCTTTGCTGATTCTTCTTTGCGCTCATCTTCCCGCTTTTACCGAATTTGTTGTTGCCATGGCTGCTAAAAATTCTGGAAACATTACCGCTGATGCAAACTGGGTGACATTTTTGAGTCGCAAGGCGACAGCCATATGTAACAGAGTGGAACGATTAGCAGATTTGTTATCAAGTTCTGCGTTAACTTCATTTGACGATTCCGTTCTGCATGTGAGATTGGAGCTGATCGATGAGCTGCAATAAACGTTTCGGAAAATTCTGAGCGAACTTGAAGAGCTTAGTTTGGTTCAAATTGAAATTTTGGGTGAGAAATTTGATGATGTTCTCATAACTCTTAAATCCTCAGTTCGTGGGGAGATTTTAAATCGCGCCTTACAAATCCACGCCCACTCAACCTATTCTGACGGCGTTTCTCCGTGCGATTGTGGCCATCAGAAACTTTCACTCCGGAATAGGCACCGTCGCTGCCCCCTCTAGAGCTACCAAAATTCGCTGGAGGCTATGCTAAATGGCTCGATTTTTATTCTATGTTTACGACGACTATATGGCTATATATTACCATAATGACCTCACAAATATAGAAAGCCTGCAGAATTTACGATCCTGTTTAAGGGACACGGCGTTAGAAATTGTTCGCTAACTGGAAATTTCGGAGGGCAACTATGCTATAGCTTTGGAGTTGTTACAAAACAGATTTGCTAATCGACGTTTAGTTTTTCAGGCGCATGTCACTGAGATTCTAGGGCTAGGGCAGTGCAGAGTGGATCCGTTTCAATGCTTCGTGAACTGTCGGATAAATTTATCGGGCATATTATTCATATACAGCTCTAAACGGATTGGGTACAAGTCAGGCCAAATGGGATGAGCATTTTGAGGACCCCGCTTTACGGAACTTAATTCCAACGTGAGAATGCATGGCATTATTTCTGGAGCAGCGATGCTGGACTCTGGAGACTATGGATTTCGTCATGGCAAGCTATGCGCCAGGCAGCCAGGTGGGAGCTAATCGTACATCTTATATGCGTAGGTCAGCCTTTCTTGCCACAAATCTTACTCAATCTTACTTACTTGCCACGCACTCAATTTACTCAATTGTCTTAGTTTTAAGAACCTAAATCCAGCAAGTCGATTTCAAGAAGCAAAAAGGCTGACTCTTTGTATAAATTGCCTTAAGAGGGACGTTACACCAAGCCATTGCCGCTCCTGCGGATCTGTGCACCACACTCTGCTTTACTTGGGGACCTTAGCCTCGTTTTCGTCACACGAAAGACATCAGCTTACTGAAACGATGGCCTCAGATTTAATCATTTAATCATGCGTCAGAACCCTCTGCATTACCTGACCCATTTTCAGCTCTTATTGCGCACGATTTAGGCAAAGATGTGGTACTCTTAGCCACTGCCACTGTGTTAGTAAAAAACCGTTCAGGAACCTTTGTTCCTTGCCGTGCTGTACTTGACTCTGGATCCGAGCTGCACTTAAAATCGGTGATTTGTAAACTTGCTTCAGCTTAGAAAAACAAAGTCGTTCCCTTGTGTCACCAGAATAAGTTACTCTAGTTTCAAGACAGATGGTTTGTCAGTCAACTTAACAATACGATCTCGAACCTCCGAGTACTTGACTTTTATCACTGTTGTCATTACTTCCAATATAACCGCATCAGCACAACTTTCACATCGACGTCTGTGACTGGAACTGTCAAGGTCAAGTCAAACTTCTGCCGGTATTGGAGTGGAGAGTTGCGACGAGCCCATTGTCCGGGCTACGTGGGAAGAGCTTGACTGAGAAGTGCATTTCGTTAAACACTTTGCTTGCTTGTCGACTGGGGATTATTCTGTTCGATTTCCAGCCCCGTTCAGTTTAGATCTGTTGGACATATGTCAGAAGTTCCGATAGAAGAATCCAATTTTATAGGTATTTCTTGCCTCATCATTGTGTCATAAAAAGAATAGCGCCACCACCAACCTTAGAGTCCTTTTTGATGGATCAGCGTAAACTTCTTCAGGATACTCCTTAAACGATGTTCTGATGGCTGATCCAGTGATTCAGCCAAAACTATTCCAGATTCTTCTTCGTTTTCGCTCGCATCCAGTTGCAATCACAGGAGACATTTGTAAAAAGAAAGAATTTGGCAAAAGATTCAGAATAAGAAGATATAATATATGCCGTCGGCATGCCTCATTCCCACGATTGTACCGGTCAATGGGATGGCGCTACAATCCGGCAAATATTCTTAGCGAGGTGGTCTTCCCAATGAGCTTAACGAGTCCCCTCTGTGGGCCCATGGACCGCCCTTTCTGAGTAGCCCCATAACTGAATGGCCACAAACAGTAGTAACGGAGAAGCCTGTAAAATCTCAGTACACTGATATTCTTGCATGCTCTAAATATGCGAATTCATTTGATGATCTGCAACGTTCGTTTGGATACATCCGTAAGTTTTGCAAGCGTATTCGACATCCTGGGCTTACTATCCCTGACGTTTAAAGTGGGACTTCTCTGTTGCTGCGTCTGGTTCAGCGTGCTCATTTATGGAAGGACATTAAATCCTTGCAAACCGAAGGGTTTACCGCTTAGTTCCCGTTTAGTTCACTTGCGTCGCTTCATTAAGCAAGTTGGGCTTATTAGAGTAGATGGTTGGTTGAAAAATTGTTTGCTGGATTTCAATGGCAGCCAAACAATCATTCTACCAAAGGATCACACAGCTACTATGGCCATTATAAATCACGCTCAAGAGCGCAACCTAGTAGAGAATATCGAGTGGCGTTTCATTCCACCTCGATCGCCTCCCTTTGGTGGTCTTTGGGAAGCTGCAGTGAAGACAGCTAAGCATCACTTCTACCGGCACTTCTAGAGGGTCGGCTTGTGGGGTTTAGAGGAGGCGTGGCGAAAATTTTGAAAGCATCAATGAAATTTGGAAATAATAAAATGGAAATATTATAATATAAATGAAATGAAATAATAAAATAGAAATTTTAACATATTTTTAAAACTTTGGGCGTGGCAGTTTTAGGCGGTTTTTGGGCGTTAGAGTGGGCGCTGGAGCTTAGGTCAACAAATTTTCTGCGTCTATGTCTCTGAAAACTGCAAGCCTAATCTCTTTTACAGTTCATAAGATCTCGACATTCAATCGGACGGACAGACGGTGTGACAGACGGACATGGCCACTTCGACCAGCTATTGATCCTGATTAAGGATATAATTATATACTTTATATGGTCGAAATCGCTTACTTCTGCCTGTTACTTTTCAAATAATCTAGTCTAATAATACATATTTATAATATAAATGTAGTACAAGGGAGAACGCTATAGTCGAGTTCTTTGACTATAGTATACGAGATACTCAGCTAGTGGGAGTGCGAACGACAAAGTTAAAGTTAAAGTTAAATTGGTAAAGGGCGTGATTGTTTTACGCTGTAAAAATTTGAAAAACAAAAAGGTAAAAGAAAAAATTTCAAAAGTTAAACCGGTCGTCTATGCCTCTGGAATCTACATGCTTAATCTAAACTTTGAACCTTATTTAGTTTCTGGGATCTCGCCATTTATACGAACGGACATACAGACGGACATGAGCGGATTGACTCGGATATTGATCCTGATCTAGAATATTTTTTTATTGCAAATCTATAGAAGTTTACAACATGAAAAAAATGGTTGAAAACGCTTCCTTCTAGCTGTTATATACTTTTCAACGAATCTAGTAACCCTTTTAGTCTCGAGTAACGGATATCAAAGGTAACGGGAATGATCGACAGAAAATAAACAAGGGAACATGAATATTGTTTCTCTCTTTTAGGTCAAAGGAACTTTAATTAATAGGCTGAAGCCTTTTTCAGTGTAAAGACCAATATTTATGTGAGTTATCTTTTTTGTCATATTTTTATATGCACACAAACACTAAGCAAGCTGATTGCGCACTGACTGATTGACCATAAACAACCCCTAGAAAAGTTACATACAATTTAGTCTATAATTTAAACTTTAGAAAGACGTAAAAACAACGAATTTAATATGATTACTTTTCGCTGCTAGCTATTTTTATAATGTTAATAATAAATGCAATCATAAATGCATATATACTACTTATCAAATGCCTATTAAAGAACTATGGTAGATTATCCCGGAACAAACAAAAATAAAGGAAAGAACAAGCCGCCAACAAATTTACATTTACTGCAAATTGTATCTCTTTTTATCAAAAGAATTTAAAAATTAAATTTTTCTCGTAAATTTTAATAAATATCTATGCACACAGCTGATTTTCTTAAAGCTAATGAAATAGACTTACTCAGCTGTGTCATCAGTTGTCCCGCTATTTCGGTCTGCAAGGCCTTCACACTTTATTAGAACTTCATGCAATTTTTCCTGCACTAACTGTTCTCGTAAAGCTGATGCGTCAGATTCCTTCCAGGCATCCCCTAACGAATCTTTGAGTTTTTGCATAGCTTCTTCTGATGTTGCCGTCAATTCAAGAGCAAGTCGTAACTTGTTTTCCGATGACAATATTTGAGGACGTAATACTTCATTATCATTAACTTCATCCACATACCGACGATGAAGATTAAAAATAATGTCACTATATCGCTTAATGCGCGATGCTTCAAAATGTCTTTTAGCTTCCATTAGAAACTGTACCACCTAATAAGTTGAGGCTTGTAAGATAACTATTTCATAATGCATGTAGTTCTATTACCCGGTTTGCTTCATTAAAAAAGTCATCATTGATGTCCGAATATAAGTTAAGATCCAAAACATCAGTTTCATCTATTTCCTCTGGAAATAAAAGTTGAGCCTCAGAAATTTCGTCAATGTTGGTCGACTTTTTGTTTTTTTTTCTGTCCTTATTAGAAGCCATTTCGCACAGCGTAAGAGAAGTTAGTTTCAAAACTTTAAAGGTTCAGATAAATTCAAACTGACTGACATATTTCTCATAGCTTTCTTTCAGGATACAAAATATTCATTTGGTTTTGCTAATAATATCGGTAATTAAAATCGGTAAAAAAAATCCTATGTCATGCCTCAAACCACCACTATACACACAAGCACATTATATGAATACGGAGACAAACACACATTATGAATAAAACATTAAGAATATCATAAAGGAATTCGAATCGAGTTGGTAACGGAAAATTACCATGTTAACAATGAGAGCTAGCAACCACCGCACTTACACCACACTTCAGAAGATTTAGATTTGGGGACTGCAGACATAAACAAGAGAGAATGCTTTAGTCGAGTTGCCCGGCTATCAGATACCCGTTACTCAGATAGTGTAAGTTCGAACGAGCAATTTCAAAATTTTCTGTAATATCGGTAGAAATTGGGTAAAAAAAATAATCAACTTGTTGAGCGCCATTTGGAGCGCTGTTAAAACAGGGTTAGATATTCTTCACGCCAACGAGTCCAAAACATCTGGTGAAGATGTGTTACTTTCTGCCATTCATCTAAACGATTGTAGTTCAGAGCAGACAAGAAAGTGTGCGGGAGTCAAAACATCAAGATCGCCAGGGTTTTCTGAAATCGAAACTAAAGGCCGAGAATTAACGATTGCAGAAATTTGATGATGCTTTGCCGTGCTGCTTACCACAATCCCCCAAAATGTGGTGATCGGGGGAACGGTGCGCCAATCGATATTGTCACCCAGACAAAAGTTCTGCAAACGTAAATTTTCCATTAGTGCTCGTGGGCCTGCGCGTAACTGTCGTTCTTGAAAACTGGGTAATATTATTGGGTGTTTAGCATCGTATAAAAGTGGTGAATTTTCCAAACGGCAGCCAACGCGTAAAGTGTCATTCTCATCCAGAAAGGGCAGTAGCGACACGCATTAGATCTTGAGATTCTGACCATCTCCTTAGAGTGCAACTCCTTAATTTCGTCCCATATATTTACATAGTAGCATTTACATTGTTTAATAACAGAAGAGGCCGGCCAGTATTTTGAACCGTGTGTAAGAAAGGGCGGACTATAAAACCGAAGCTTAGATGGCATCACTTGATTCTGAAAGAATATCATCAGGTTTCAGGTTATCGCCAAGGGTCTTGGTTATGTCGCTCCTGTCATCAAACTTCAGAAACTGCTCCGTGTCCTCTTCAGCAACGGCTTTGAGAACAGATGAATGACTAGAAGTTGCATAAGGTTGCATTTTGTTTAAAACCTCAGAAATTGAGTTTCCACCTGAAATTAAATCATCTACGAAGAAATCCTCTAGCAAAGTAGCCGATCCAATGGTATGTAGGGCCTTCATCTTGAGCGAGCTGGTGCATTGCCCGCACTGAGAAGAAAGCTGCCTTAAACACACTGAACTCCTCCTTAGGAGAGTCTCTCCACAAGATACATTGGTAATAATTATCTGGAGCCATCATATGGACACACCGATTCATTTTGCATATGTCTGCTGCGTATGATTGAAATTTCATTAAAATGTCAAACAGCTTAGGTTGAATGACAGGTCCTGCTAGGAGTGCCTCATAAAGAGATTAGCCAGACGAAGGTATAGCCGATTCAACAAACTCCACGCGAAGCTTAGTCGTCCTTCTTCAAAATGCAGAAACATAGCAACACAAAACAAAACGGCAGGAAATATAAAATATAACACGATATATTCGCAGAGTTAACCAGAGACATGTGATTAACCTGTAGGTAATCAAGTGTAGGTGTCAACAAAATGCCTCTCGCAATCAAGCCCTCCCTTGGTCTTAGCGCAAACTGAGTCATTGCAGCTCTCTAACTTCCAGAACCGGCGAACAACCTCATCCACACTATCATCACTTTGATTATGCAAGACAGAATTGGCAGTCAACGTATAAGTATTAAAATGTCCCTAAATTAAATTGTCCTCCACCAGAAACCACCCAAACAAGCCGAGTTTTTTAAGGAAGTGAGGAAGTTCAGGAACGAGCTTGATCTGTTCGACGCACAACAATTCGTAGAACATGCTTGCTCCAATCAGTAAGTCTATATGCTGAGGCTTGTTGATTGAAGGATCCGAATATTGGCTGGAATATTCGAGTCTTCTATGTTTAAGACGGTGCTGGGTTGATGGTTAACAGACCAACGTGGAGCAAAGTGGAATATCAAATAATTTCAGCATGGGAGATAAATTTCCAAACGTATTGAACGGGATGGTTCACCCTCCTGGTACCCTCCTTTGCCGAGGGTATTTTATACATACTCCTCCACATGTATCCTCCGGAGAACGAAGACAACTTTAGCTCTGTAACGCGGGAACGTGTAGCCGGGATGTAAGCTGTAGAGTCATTGTGACGCCAGAGGCTGTTGAATATGACCACGCAAACATTTCATCAAATTCATCTCGGCGTTGGCTGCCGATTTCATTAAAATTTTATTCATTCAATTAAAATTTAATTTCATTAAAATTGCATGCAAAATAACGGAATCGCCCGAACGTCGGCAAACGTTTATTCTGTAGGCTATAAACACTGACAAGTTGTTATTATTGCACGTTAGGCCAGAAAGTTCCTCTATTTTGTTATGCTTTTGTTTAAATCTACTGCACAACAATATCACGTCGGGGTCTCCGATATTTTACCTATTACCGATAATTCACCTAATTCACCTAATTTCCAATTCAAAATTCAGCCTTAATTTGGGAAACGCTATAAAAACGCCGACAGCAATGCTTAGCGATCAAGAAACGAAGAGTGAGTGACAAAAAAAAAACGACCCCCGCTGCCGGCTGATATGCATTGCATAGAAAAACCGAAAGAGAGCTGTTAATGCTGCAGCTGCTGCGCATCCCTAGCGAAGGAAGTACAAGGTCCTCTTTTTCGAATCCACAGAAGCTCATCACCATACGTTGCTTCTAGCTCGCCGTAGGTCGGGGCTCTTTTAGCTTAGGATAGTACGAAACGCTACTACATTTAATAAGTGAGTCTTTAACAAAAACAATAAAAAGTGTGAAGATAAGCTACAGATTCTGATAGGTATTGGGAATTTTGGATGTTAATAATTGCCTAAGTCTTTACCCTCTTACAATGACAATGCTACTTAAAATATATACATTGTCCCTTGGTCAAGTTCAAAATAACTCTACCACATATTTAAGAAAGTGTTCAACATAAGTACTCGACAAACCATTATATCTATTTATTCACAATTCATTCTATTTCAATATATCTTCAATTATAATTCCTTTTATATAAATTTAGTTTAGTAAGCGGTTCCATTAAATCTCTTTTACAAACTAACAAATTTTAACCTACGCATAATTATCCTAGTTATTCTCTAACTCTTCATTTTCGTTTATATTTAGTGAGTAAAATAAAGTATATAAAGTAAAATATAAAGCAAATAGATATAAGTAATTGAATATAAAATTAGCAAATATAGTTATACAATCTTAAGCCAAATACAGATCTTATTTTATTTAGACGTTCGAGTGGCATTTTGTAGAATTTTAATATAGGTAATTGATAAAAATGTTTTTTTTATTATTGTTGTTGTCGGGAGCAGAACTAGCGATCTATTTAATTTCTCTAAAACATTTATACTTTTGCCAATTTAAACTTTAACGTAATCACATTTTCAAATAATCTTTCTTGCCCACTGTAATCGATCACTTCTTGCACATATTAGCTTTCAATTATCTCACTATGTTATTATCGCTTTCTTCTTTAACGAGCTTTTGCGCATGCTCAGCTTCTTACGCTTTTGCTTTGGACTCTTCAAGTCAGTCGTAAGTCGCTCTTCGTTTTGTTCTAATCGGTCTCTCTCGACAATTACATACTAAGCGCACTTAACCAACGCTGTATGTATAATAAACCAAATCGTTAATAAATTAAATAAGAATTATACAATATCGTTTGTACTAATTTGATATTAAAGATTAAAAAGGGCTGTCAAACCAGTCAGTCCTCGTAACATTGGTGACCCCGACGTGATACACCACTAATTTTCCACTAATTTTAAAAAACGCTTTGTGCATATTCGGTGTAAAGGCTCTAAACGAACAAAAAGCTCAAACATTTTTAAAAAATTCTTTTGTACACGTGTTTCAAAAGTTAAATACAAAATTTTGAGAAGTGCATAGTGGATAACATATGCTTGGTTTGCATACCATACAGCTAGTTTCAAGTGCCGCGCTTTCGGTATATATATAACATACATACATACATATATATACATACAAACACATACATTTTCATTCTTTTCTATCGCGTGATATTTCGAAGTGACCAAATAGCTGTTTCAAAGGTTCACTAACCTTTAAGAGTATATACATTCGGACCTTATATACATTTTGTGCAGTTTTTAGACTTTTCGAAAAATTATAAAAATGAATTCGGAGATTACGGGATCTCCTAACCCTACTGTGGCATCAAGGGACATTGATTTTTATAAGGCTAAATCGTCTTCAATATTTCGGCAAATCGTGGCTTTAAACAACTTTTTAACTCAAGAAGAGCTAAATAATTTTGATGAGTCGGATCTTGAGGTGCGCATTGAAATTTCTGCTCGAATGCAATCAGACTTTGACGCATCTCAGACCGCTCTAGAGAAGCTCGACTTATTGGAGTTGACTTCTGACGCGCGAACCGAATTTAACCAAGTGTATTGCAGTGTCAGATCAAAATTAAATCGTGAACTCAATCGCTTACAAAAATCCGTAATTGCTAATTCCACGGTAATTCGAAATGTGATCGAGGATCAAAGTACTTTTCGGTGTTCAGCTAGCAGCTCTCGACTCCCTGAATTCAAATTACCGCGTTTCTCCGGTTCTTACATGGATTGGCCAGATTTTTACTCCATGTTCAAGAACGCAGTTGGAAACCTCGAGGATCTGAGCAAAGTGGAGAAATTTCAGCATCTAAGATCTTGCTTAGATGGCGCTGC